TATTATCCAGCAGGTCCAATGATACTTGAAGTGTCTATGGCGAATAGGAATACTGTAAGGAGGAAAATCACAGCACCAAACTCTAGGACTTTGGAGCAAATCTATGCCTTGTTCTAGATAGGACTATTCTCCTTTTGACAAATAGCTTCTATCTTGCTACCAGGCCTTGGTAGAGACTCAACTCCTCACCATGGGATATTGGGTGACCATATGATCTGAGCTTCCCATCATGAACTGGGTGTGGTCTGACCCACCCACCCATAAGGCTGTGTGTGTGCAGAAGCAATCTATTATCAAATGGGGATGGTTTGTAAGACACAGAGCTTGGGCAGGTCCAGAAGGTACCAGTAAGTTGCATGAGCAAGTGGCTTAGGCTCCTTTGACTCTGAAGGTGCATTGCCCCTTCCCCCTCCTATGGTCTATGGCCTCTTGGGCATGTTGCTGATGACCAGTCGACTGAGGAAGAAATAACTAAAGCCTGATTTACAGATTGTTCTGTATTACCTGTGATTATCACTGGGCACCACTCAGCATTGATCTTGAAGGACATTAGTGAAGAAAATTCTCCTGGTGGGTAGAACTTTTAGCAGCAGATTTAGTTGTATGCTGTCTAGACTGAGAGATGGCCAGTAGTACAGATGAACAGACACTAATTCATGGGCAGTTGCTAGTAGTTTGGTTAGATGCTGTGTTAGTCAGTGTTCTCCAGAGAAACAGAACCAGTAGGATTGATCTATCTATCTATCTATAATATATATTAGGATATATATATATATTTTATATATATAGGATATATATTCATATATAAATAGAATATTTTTATATATATAATATATAAATAGAATATATATAAAAGGAGATGAATTGGCTCACATGATTATGGAGGCTGAAAAGTCCCACGATCTGCCATCTGCAAGCTGGAGACCCAGGAAAGTCAGTGGTATAATTCAGTCTGAGTCCAAAGGCCTGAGAACCAGGGTAGGCGATATTGTAAATCCCAGTGCAATGGCAGGAGAAGATAAAATGAGATGTCCCAGCTCAAGGGGCAAGGCAGAAAGAAAAGGGAGGTGAATTCCTTCTTTCTCCACCTTTTGTTCTATTCAGGCCCTCAGCGGATTGGATGATGCCCACCCACATTGGGGAGGGCAGTCTACTTTACTGAGTCCGCTGATTCAAACGCTAATCTCATTTGGAAACCCAGAAATAATGTTTAATCTGGACACCCCATGGCCCAAGTCAAATTGACACATAAGATTACCTATCATAGATGGCTAGAGACTTGAAATCAATAGGATTGGAAACTTGGTGACAAGAACATCTGGGGAAGAGGTATATGGATGACCTCTCGGAATGGTCAGATTGTGAAGATATTTGCATCCCATGTGAATGATGACCAAAGGGCATTCACTGAAGAGAAGTGGGTGGAAAAATCATGTACTCTGTGAGGGTCTATCTCTTTTCCCAGCCACCTCAGTGCTTGCTCAATGGGCCCATGAAAAAAATGGCCATGGTGGTATGGATAGAGGCTGTATATTGGCTCAAAAACACAGACTTACTGTTACCAAGGCTGACCTGGCTAACACTACTGCTGAGGGCCTAATATGTCAGCAACAGAGATCAATGGTGATCCCCTAATATGACCCCATTAACTGGGGGAACCCAGCAGCCACCTGGTGGCAGGCTGATTACATTGGACGGCTTCCTTCTTGGAGGGGGGCAGAGATTTGTCCTCACTGGAATAGACAATTTCTGGATATGGATATGCTTTCCTTGCCCCACACTACTTCTGCCAATAGCATTATCTATGGACTCGCAGAACACCTTATCCACCATCATGGAATTTCCCACAGCATTGCTTCTTTCACAGCAAAGAAAATGCAGCAGTGAGCTCTTGGCTATGGAATTAATTGGTCTTAGCACATACTCCATCCTCTAGAAGCTAATGGGCAAATTTTGAGAGGTGTAATGGCTTGCTGAAGACTGAGTTACAGTGTCAGTTGGGAGTCAACACCTTGAAAGGATGGGGTGCTATCTTAAAGGATATTATATATGCTTCAAAGCAGAGAACAATCTGTGGTGCTATCTCCCCCATAGCCAGAATATATGGGTTTTGGAATCAAGGGGTGGAAGTGGCTTATCTCACTATTAAACCCTCTAATTCAGTCATAGAATTTTTGTTTCCCATCTGGCTGCCTTGAGCTCTGCTTGTTTGGAGTTCTTAGCCCCTGAAGAGGAACAACTCACCAGGGGACACACCAATGGCTCCAGGTAAAGAACCCCAATCGGCGAGGCACTCTGCCAGATCTTACAGAGGAGAAGAAAAGCATGACTGATGTGTCTGTGAATCCGGAAGGACAATCTTCCAAAGGCACTCACTTCTGGAAAATACATTCTGGATAGTATTGGAAGAGTTTGATTCCGTCAAGTTTATACATGATAGAAAACAGCCATGCATACTGATTTTTATTTATTTGCTCATCTAAATAGAAAGAAAAATCAGGGTTGTAAGGTCTTCAGAAGGGGACAAATCTTTTTCAGGTCTCTGAGGCTACTGAAGATGCAATTAAAAAGAAAAACTTGCTTACTAGCTTGTCTGCATAAGTTATAGCATAGGGCTAAAATAGAGCAGGGATGCTGGTTAATATGAAATTAACGTTAGTCCAATTACATACTCATTTAGCCATCACTGGTGATTATGCTAAGGTTATTACTATTCATATAGTCTACTTACTTCTTGATAAAGGGCCCATTGGGGCCTTTAAAACATTGCCTATTTTGTCCATATTCTAGACATGGACTCTGGAGTCTGATGCTGGGGTTTGAGTCCTGGCTCAGTCACTTTCTAGCTCTCTGATCTTGGGTAAGTCAATTAACTGCTCTGTGCCTGAGTTTCCTTATCTATAAAATGATGATGACAGTAGTATCGACTTTGGAGTGTTGTTTGAAGAATTAATTAAGATAACACATGCAAAGTCCTTACAACAGTGCTTAGCCCATAGGAAGCAATGAATAAAGGTTAGCAATTGTTAATATTATAATTTGGCAATGCTTGCTCTAAGTCTGCTTGCCAGGAATATAAACCATTTTATATCCTCTCTCTCTCTTTCCCAAGCAAAGCTGCAGAACATCTGCTAAATAACTGTAAGGTCTGAATTGTGTCTTCTCTCCTCCCAGAACACTTCCCACCCCACCAAATCCATTGGTTGAAGCCCTAACCCCCATCAGACTGTATTTGAAGACAGGACCTTTAAGGAAGTAATTAAGGTTAAATGTGGTCACAAGGGTGGGGTCCTAATATGACAGGACTGGTATCCTTATAAGACAAAGAAGAGACACCAGGGATCTCTCTCTCTACATGCACACAGAGGAAAGGCAATGTGAGGACACAGAGGGAAGACAGCTGTCTACAAGCCTGGAAGAGTGATCACATCAGAAACCAACCTTGATGGCACCTTGATCTTGGACTTCTAGCCTCTAAAACTGTGAGAAAATAAATGTCTGTTGTTTAAGCCAGTCTGTGGTATTTTGTTATGGCAGCCCTACCTGACTAAGACAATGACATTATGAAATTTCCTAATTCACACATTCAATGAAAGACAGATGAGCAGTGCTGACATACAGTGTCCAATGTCATCCTTGAATACATTACCCATTGTGTGAAAGTCTGGTATCTACCAAGGGGGGTGGGGGTCACAGCAGGGAGTCATATATACCGTCAAGACTACTGACGACTTGATTCCCTCTAATGACAACTATTTTTTCTACAAAATTTATCGAGGCCCTAGGCTACTAGATATGCAGGGATTAGTTATTATCTGTGAGGAGCTCTCACTCTTATTTTTTTCTCTTTTTAGGCCCATCACAGAGGATTTTGTAAGAATAAGAATTTGGTTGAGTCATTGATCAGATTCTGGACTAGTGTGACCCCATGTCAGCTGTAGCCTTCCATTCTCTCATCAGCTGGACAACGCTGGCTGGCGTCCTGATCATTCCACTTCTGGGGATGCCCAAAGCCCTCCTCGGATGTCTTCTGATTCCCTGAGGCTGCCCTTCTCCTGGGCTCTCCCTCCTGAATTTCTGTCCTGCATGGGCTGGATTTGGACCCAGAGCTGCCTTTCAAAAACTGCACTCCCAATAAGCACTCATGAATTTAGCTGTCCTAACTGAAGATTCGGGGGTCATGGGGAGGTGAGGCCCAGCCTCGGAATTTTCTCTCTTGCTTCTCTATTCTCTTTTCTCCTTACCTTTCCTTCTAGAATTCCCTAAGAACACAGAAGAATTCAGCTGGGTTCCAAGGCTCAAACTTGCAGAAACCCTAGTTAATGAGATGCTTGCAGAACAAAGAGCTTTCCATTTTAAGGCAGTTTTGCTTAAAAATTTTTTATAAATATACATATTATTTATATATTAAATGTATATTTATATTTATTATATTATATATAACATAATATGTATATGTACGATGATGTGTATAATATATGCATATTACATGTATGATATATAAAATATTATATTTATAAATAAACATCCTCTTTTTTCTTCTTACTACAGTAGGAACGATTAAGGCCATTTAGAGATAAAAGGAACCGCTGACTTTAGAGATAGGGAACCGTTGAGTTCAGGTCTCAGAGTCACTCACTGACTTGGGAAAAGCTGTTTGGAATTTACTTCTGAATTTATTTTTTAGGTGTAGGGTGTTTAGAAACTGGAAGTAGGAATAATGTAAACCATGTAGCTTTAGGAAACCCACGGCAAAATGGCTTTTCAATCTTTTATTAAGGCTTTCCTAAGATTGTTATTAATAAGCAAACAGAGAGAGAGATTCAAAAAAAGTTTATTAGCCCACGCTGACTTTCCTAGTTAACCTCTGCGAAGGGAAAGTCAGATTTGATTTCTATGTATTTTGAGTCTAAATGAACTACATAGAAAACGTAAAAACGCATGCAGAGTAATCATGCAAATGAACAGCAATTATTTTAAGGATGCCACGCGTTTGGAACATGCTTTACCCCTGGACAGGTTTGGCCCAGTCCATCAGTGCGGCGCTGGAGGAGGGCTGGGCCGCCGCTCCCAGCAATGACCTCGCGGCGCCCCCGCACTCCCCTAAACACCGCGCCGGGCTGGGGGCGGCGGACCCCGCGCCCCGCGTC